AGAGAATTGCAAAATGTAAAAAAAAAATGAATTTGCTGCCTTCCATATATAATTTTACTTATTCACGCAAACTAGTTGCTAAAATGCAAAAGAAACAATCAAAGTTGGCCTTTTAGATATATGCCAATGAAAAAAGTTAAGACAACCAAAAAATATAAAACTTTTGAAAAAAATAAAACATTACTGCATTTTCTAAGCTTAATGGGCCTTTTAATTCAAACATGAATAAATGCAAAGGAAACAAATGATGGCTGTGCTATATGAACAATGACCCTAATCTCTTTGGATACAAAATCAATTAAAAGCTTTTTTGAAAAAATAAAAGGATTGTATTTTTTTCAGGCTTAATGGGGCCTCTAAAAACAAAAAAGTGATAACTGTTTAACTGATTACATTGTCCCAAAATATTTCTTTATATAAAATTAATTGTTATCTTAATTTTCATAAAAAGCATTGCCAAATAGCCAAGTCAACTTAAACAACAAACATGTATATATATGTGATAACATGCTTTACATTATGCACTTGAATTGATTCATTCATTCATTCAGAAAAAAGGCACAAAACATGTGTAACATATGTTTATATATGACATATCTTTAAATCCTGGTACATGTATATATTTACCATATGTACTAGATACATTACATTCATTCATTCAGAATAAGGCACAGACATGTGTAACATATGTTTATATATAATGAAACATATCTTAATCCTGGTACATTGTATATTATTTTACATATGTACTAGATACATTCAATTCATTCAGCTTCATTTCAATTCAGAATAAAGGCACAGACATGTGTAACATATGTTTATATATATGACATATCTTAATCCTGGTACATGTATATATTTACATATGTACTAGATACATTCATTCATTCATTCATTCATTCATTCATTCATTCAGTATAAAGGCACAGACGAGTGTAACATATGTTTATATATGACATATCTTAATCCTGGTACATGTATTTTCTAACATTCAGAAAGCAATAAAAAACTAACTTAGCTTTTTATAAAATGTAGTTATATCTTTACTGTCTGAAAACTTTTAATTTTCAAGTCTTAAACATCATATGAACCCAGAGGTACTGTGCATCACAGAATGAAGTGTTTTTGGTTTATATGCATGGGTTGAAATAAAATACATTTTCTCAGTGCACAATATTTTCAAAAGCTAGGCAATCCTTTGATTGTAAATTTTATGTCAAATTAACAGTACTTAAAATGTCCAAAAATCAAGAAAAAAAAAGAAGACAACATTTAATGCAACATTTTACTAAAGCAATTGAAATAAGCTGAGTAATTATAGTGACTGACAGATATTTCTGTCATAATTGCTTTAATAACACCTTAAAATTTTATCGTAAACATTTACTTAACCATGGTGATAATTAAATTTATAACATGAAACTTTAATTTAAGAGGAAATTGAAATCAGGAGCACTGGTATATCCCCAAGGGGCAGTCATGAACTGGTATATATTTCCTAAGTGTAACCAAAAACTGGTATATATACCCGAGGTGCCACTGAGAACTGGCATATTTCTTCAAAAGGCAGCCGAGTACTGGTACACATGTTGATAACGAAGGGGCTGGTATTTGCCCATGGGGCAGACGAGAACTGGTATATTTCCCACAAGGGTGAGTGAGAAGAAAGACTGGTGAGTGTATATATCCTCCAGAGGGCAGCAACAACCGATACATATCCCAAAAGGCCAATAGCTGAGAATTGCTATATATCCTCAACTTGCAGCATGTAACTGGTAATATATCCTATCCCCAGGATGCACCTTGCTGCAAAATTGTATATATACCAAAGGGGGCGACTGCAGAGATCTGGTAAACATATCCACTATGGGACAAGCAGAGAGGCAAAAAAAGTTTGAAGAGTTTGCAATATGCACTTGCACCTGACAACCATGCGTTAAATTCATTGTAAATATATTTTTTTATTTAAGGATATATAATGGGTAAGTTATAAAAGGATACATAATATTGTATAACAGTATATACTAGTACATCCAAATTAACAGTTTATTCTTTCCTCTAAGGGTTATCTTTACAATTTACAAATAATACACATTTAAAGTTCTGTTAAAGGAGCTCCACTGAGGTCTAAAAGAATAAAAATAGAAAATCTAAAACAGATGAAATTGGGTATTTAACACAAAAACAAAACGGCCATGGTGGCCCTGAAAACGCTCACCTGTATATAGGCCCACGGGCGGGGCCAATTTTACCCCAGGGGCTATTAATTGAGCAAACTTGGTAGACACCCATTTAAAGATGTTTCATGATAAATATGTTAGCTCTAGCACTAAGAATTTTTTTTAAGTTTTTACTATACACATATAGGGGAAATCAATGAGCCTCCCCCCCCCCCCTCTTGGGCAGGACCAAGTTTGTCCCAAGGGCTTTTATTTGAACAAACTTGGTAGACACTCACTAGAAGATATTTTTTAAGTTTTTACTATACATGTACACGTATAAGGAAAATCAATGACCCCCAGGAGAATGCCAATTTTAACCCCATGATCCTTATTTGAACAAAAATGGTAGACACCCATTAGAAAATGTTTCATGCTTAATATCTTAACTCTAGCAATTTGGTTTTTTAAAGAAGATTATTTAAGTTTTTACTTTATACAAATAAGGAAAATCAATGACCCCGGACGGGACCAATATTGACAGCAGGGCTTTCATTTGTACAAACATGGTAGACACTGACTAGACAATTGTTTCGTGCCAAATATTGAAGCTCTAGCTCTTTCGGGTATTTTAAAGAAGATCTTTTCAGTTTTTTTATTTTTTGTTGTCATGGCAACCAGAGTTCTGCATGGAATTAAATTCTTTGAACAGTTTTTAAAATTGACTACCAAAGGAACATTCCTTGTGAAGTTTGGATGAAATATGGGCTCAGCAGTTTATGAGGATATGTCGTTTAAAGTAAAATTTTTACTGACGGACAGACGCCAGACGTAAAGCGATCAACAAATGCTCACCATGTCACTATAAGACAGGTGAGCTAAAAATATAAAAATAATACTAAAGAAAACAATACTCAGAATAAATTGAAATCGATATTCATTAAGCATAATTTTCAAAACAAAGTTAACCTACAAAGATTTTAAACAAAGTTTTTGAACAACAAGAGCTGTCGACAGCAAAGTTGCACTCAAACTATCCACAGTGATGGATATTGCAGAATTTTTAAGCTATAAAAGGGAAATAATTCTGTCAAATATCTATGTGCTCGGACAGTGACTTCCTATTACTCTCATATAGTTTGTGAATCCACTTTTAATACGTTAAGAACTAAACCAAGAATTTCATAATTCGAAAAAGGTGCCATAATTTAAACGAGAAAAAAAATATCAGAGACATGGGATTTGTGTTAGTCCATGTTAAATAATCAAAGTGAACAAGCATGTCATTTTTGCCTTCAGTAGTTTTCAGATACCAACTTGCACACATAAAAGAAACCAAAGTTTGTCGCCAATGCTAAACTTGGGTAAGTACTATAATAGCATTCACTGAATAGTTGAGCTAAAAATGAGTATATTAAAGAACAAGAATGTCAATTGAAATTTTCATTCAGTTGTTTTTTAGATACCAACTTGCACACATAAAAGTAACCTAAGTTTGACGCCAATACGGTAAGTACTATTATAGCATTTTTAAAATATTCATTGAATAGTCGAGCTAAAATGATTACTAGTATTTTGGAAAAACAAAGTGAGCAAATAATATACAAATTTTATACATGAAAAATAATAAATCTTCTACAAATAGTATGAAACCTCAAAAACATAACTCCCATTCTATCATGTCAAAAAAAAAACCAAGAAAATATAATCCTTAGTGGAGTCCCTTTAACTTTACACTTTGAGTAAATACTGACTAACAGTATTAACTTGTACACATTTATTGTTTTCCATAATTACAATTTGTAAATTTTTACAATCTCTACTACTATATAAAACAATCAAAGAAGGATACCATGTATAAAAATATAACATGTAAATGGTCCTCATCTCAATGAAACAATTTACTTGTCCTATATATCATCTAACAGGTATTTATATATACCATTCCATTGTCCTATATATCATATAACTGGTGTTAATATAAATAATTCCATTGTCTAAATATTGTATAACAGGAATTTACATATAACATTCCTTTGCTTTATAGAACATACAACTGGTATTCATTTATACCATTCCATTTTCCTTTACATCTTATAACTGGTATTGATATATACCATTTCCTTTGCATACTTAACATATAATATACATATATGGTATTTTTTATATACCAAACACTTGTCCTATATATCATATAATTGGTATTCATATATATCATTCCATTGTCCCAAATATCATATAACTGGTATTTATATAAACCATTCACTTGTCCTATATACCTAATAACTGGTATTTATATGTACCATTCATATAACTGGTATTGATATATACCATTCTCTTGACATATTTCTCATATAACCGGTATTTACATAGACCATTCCTTTATCCTATCATATATTATATTATTAGTTTTATATAACTGGTATTTATATATACCCGATTCCCTTGTCCTTTATATCATATTACTGGTATTTATATATACTATTCCCCACTTGTCCTTTATATCATATAAATGGTATCAATATATAACATTCCATTGCCATACATATTTATATGACTGGTATTAGCATGTTATCTTATACTTCTTCTAACTTTCCTGACCATGTAAACCATGTAAAAAATAACCTTTACCTTTATCCAGATTAATATATTTTTTTAAATATTACTCTGCATTTATTTCATTTTTTTTTATTGAAATACACATTTGATTATTACTTTCATCAATTTCAATATTACTACAATGATCAGAAATTGATATTTAATGAACTGTTTTTGATGATTGTTATTTATCATATTGTATTATATTCATTAATATGTAACTTTAGTATTTTTATTTCCATGTTTTGCTTATAATGAAAAGTCTAATTTTATATCTTTTATCATGAAATAATTTAGATTCAGCACTATGTTAACTGCATGTATTTTCTCTCACTAAGTTAAAAAATTCGATCTTTTTTATGTCGAAAATGAAAAGCCAAATTCATCATCTCTTTTAACATAAAATAATTTAGTTTAAACACTATGTTTTAACTTCATGTAACCTATATCAATTTTTTTGTTGAAAAGCCAAACTCATAATAACCATCACATTTAACATGAAATAACTCATCCTGGTCTTTTACATATAGTTTAGCATCATTTCCCTTCTCTCCTCTAAGTCCTTGAAATGTAAACATACCATCAGTAAACTCCTTACCATCTTCTGTTATATCACAGCCCCTTACACTCACATCTACAGTATGAGGAACGTGAGGAAGACTATCAACAAACTTCCGCCATGTTGTCAAACTCATTTTGACTTCACCAAGCGTAATGTTCTTTAAACTCTTCATCTCTAAAGGTGACTGTATTATATTGTCAGTTAAACTACAACCCCATAACACAAGCTTTCTGAGATTGTGTAACAATGGTAATACTGTGACAAGTCTATTTGTTATGTTGTTATGATACAATTGAGATTTATTGTAAATATCTCCATGCAATTCCAGTTCTTTTAATTTGTAAGATTTTCTAATACTATCAAATATTTTCCCGTAATTACTATTTTTCAAATAATAAAGTGATAATATTTCAAGGTTTGTAGTATCAACATCTATCACACTAACAGTATAAACCAAATGAAGGTACTGAAGTTGTTGATGTTTTGATAAATTTACATCATGCTGGTTCTCACACTCACATTCAACATTAACAAGATGTATTTGTTCAAGATGACTGGTTCTCTCAAGAAAATTATAAAATGTAGTAGTATCACCATGACTCATTGTTATACCACTCATTCTTATTGCTACAAGATTGATCATACTAGGTAGGTTACTAACAACTGTTTTACACACTGGGTAATACTTGTCATTGTAAGAGACATGAAGAGACAGAGATTTTAATGTTAAAGTGTTTACTTTAATTGTCTCACAAATACAATTGTGTATCTCATCAATCAACTGTTCATTACTCTGTGTACTACTAGTATCACTTTGTGTACTCCTAGTATCCATTTGTGTACTACTAGTATCCATTTGTGTACTTTGTGTACTACTAGTATCCATTTGTGTACTCTGTGTACTACTAGTATCCATTTGTGTACTCTGTGTACTACTAGTATCCATTTGTGTACTCTGTGTACTACTAGTATTCCTTTGTGTACTATGTGTACTACTAGTATCACTTTCATATTCATATTCATATTCATATCTTATTACAATTTTTTCAAGATGGTGAAAAATTGGTAAATATTTTGTAAATTCAACATTTGCCGTGTTGATGCCATCTACATAAATAGACAGAACAGTGTCAGGAACAATTTGATGCTGATCAATACCTGAACAAACAATATCACGAGACTGACCCCGTCTTTCAATGACCAAATCTCCTATATGAAATACAGGATTATTTCCTATACTACATGATGCATTGAATTCTTCCATTGACTCTAACAAAAGCTTTTGAATATCAGTAATACAACGATGGTCCTTATAAATGTCACTCCTGTATTCTTCAACACGAGAGTCTTCTGACACAGTATCATATATGTATTTTGAAACATGTGTTGCTAATCTAGGTTCAAGACCACATAGCATAATGATAACATTTGACTGCTCTAATATGTCATTTACTGTTGAACATTTCTGAAAAACCTCATTAATAAACTTTTTGACTAATTCAACATTTCCTGTACTATCTGACAGACCATTTTTTGCATTGAAATTGATACAAATATTTACTGCAGCCAGAAATTCTTGCATTGATTTGTGAATAAAAGAGAACAATGAGCTTGGTGGTTCTGATACAGATAAACTTGGACATTCATCTTCTGTCATTATTCCAAGTTTCAAGCAATTTTCTCTTACTTCATCTGATATTTCTAGTTCATCAAACATAGAAATGTCAAATGTCAAGGATTTATCCTTCGGACAATTAAATAGTGTCTCATAAGCCAACTTTGACACATAATAAATGAGATGGCTGTTTAATTTGAATATCTTTTTATCAGCTAAGGTTTTAGGAAGATATACTTTCTGAGCACCCTCCATGAGTCGAGTACTTGTTCCTGCAGTTTTCATGTCATTCCATGTAAAGAAAAGTTCTAACATGCCGGTGTAAATGGCACATTTTGAAGTTTTATCAAGTTTACCATCAAACCATAGACAAATCAGTTGCTGCAGCATAATTGGTAGCTGTTTTAAACTTTCAAGGGACTTTTCTCTCAGCTTTTGTTCACAAACTCTGGCATCTTTACTGGCATGCCTGCTGAAATTTAATTGTGAGACTGTTCTATCTACCATTTCCCTTTCACATCTCAAATCAAACCCTTTCAGATTCAGTATTTGTTCAATTTCTGTCTCACTTATTCCCAAGGTGTGAACTTTCCATGGCCGTGATGTAGTTACGATTGTGTAGTCTTTATTAACATCCTGTTTTGGGAGACCCATTGTCTGGAACTGATTGTAGGACTTTCTTTCAGAAGACCATTCATCTAAGCCATCAAGCAATATTATAATCTTTGCAGAGTCCTTTTTGAAAACTGGGCTTGAAATGTCAATATCATACTGATTTTTAATCATATCCTGGACACTGTCTATGTCTTGATTATGTCTTAGAGAGATATAAAACATGAAATCAAATTTGTTCATTTCCTTGACTCCTTCAAACTCATCTTCTACATTTTGTGCATCACTGTGTGCAATACACCAACAGTTGACCAAATATTTACAGAAACTACTCTTACCAGACCCTGCATCTCCAAGAACATATATATGTTTCAAAGGCACGTCATTCTTTATGAAGATATCTGACATTGACTTGACCTCAATCTCCTTTGTCTCCCCTTTCTCTCCTTTTATTTCTCTTGTTATTGTAGGCCTAACATAAATCTCACTGAAGTTACATTTCTGACCTCGTGGTAGTAAAGGCATTGCTGGTACTTTGAGCAAAGTCTTACAGTATGATGCTATCATCTCTTTCTGCCATTCTAAAATTATAATATAGTATAACATTTACATGACAAGCCACCACTAATGAGTGATTTAGATAATTAATGAACACATAATGAATCATTATTTTCAATGTATACTAGTAATAAGTAAGTATTATGAAATTATGAATTAACTAGAAGGGTTTTTGTCACAAAAACATGATTAAGCTTATCTATATTCCTAAAAAAACATGCCTGATTTACCCATTTCATATCCTATATAACATACATTCATGATTAAGCCTTTTTATATTTTTTTCAAATACCTGATTTAGCCTATTAATTTTCCATACCTGATTTATCCTTTTCATATTCTATATAACATACATGATTAACTTAAGCCTTTTCATATTCTATACAACATACAGTTAAACAGTTTTTAACTTTCGGGAAGTCAGTAAACTTTGTTCGCTCGAACTCGGATCGCTCAAATACCGCCCTTCGCTCGAACTCATCACCCAGCCCCGGCAAAATTCCTATATAACATATTATTGTTCTACCTCGGATCGCTCGAACACCCATAGCTCGAACACTCGAACCTGATCTCTGTCTGTTCGGCAGAAAAATATAGTGTAAATCACACCTTTTTGGTCGAACACAAACAGACAACAGAAATTGCGGGTCGACATGTTCTAAATAATTACAGTCAGGTGACACATGTTTTAAACACCTCGTGATCTTGACAAAGGCAATTAAGGTTAATTGATACGAAAAAAAAGGTGTTGTAATCGATTTGTTTCTTATGAATACAATTTTTTATTTGCCGTCTTTAGTAACGATAAAAAGAAAATAACTATGAAATAAGTGAAATGTTCAAGTAATAGATAACGTTTACCGGACGGCTTTAATTACAACCGTGGTTCATGTAATGTGAACTTGTTACAGTGTAATCTATTTATAGAATGATACTTGTTCGTGTGTTTTTTTTGTAAATGACTACAAATAGAGCTGCTGGTAATTTTTATTTTAAATATTTTATTAATTCCAATGCTTAAAGTAAAATTCACCCCATAATAAACATATTGGTAAATATATGTTGAACAATGTTCAACAGTTTGGATAATGATCGGCTCGATTTGACTTCAAAAATTATCAATATAGCAATGAATATAGATTAACACCAGGTGTTCCCGTTATACTGTTTTCAATAGGATATGACATATTCGTCAAACGGATGTACTAACAAACAATTATATTAACGTATTTATTCATTTGACCGATGTAAGTCTGAACAAGCCTTATCCAGACCAATGTTCTATGTAAATAAAATATACGTTCAACCTAGGTTGGCTCGAACTATCCGATCTCCTCGAACAAATTCAGCTCCTCCAAGTTTAGAGCGAGACGAAGTTCGACTGTACTAGATTTAGCATTTTCACAATCTTTTTAACAAACCTGACAGCGCCTTTTCACATTCTGTATAACATTCCAGATTTACCTTTTTCATATTCTATATAACATACCTAAATTAGCTTTTCCATATTCTATGTACCTGATTTAGCCATTATTATATTCTATATGACATATCTGATTTAGCCTTTTCTTTTTCCATATAACATACCTGATTTTGCCTTTTCATATTATATACTACTCAAAAATTTGCAAAGGATCACTTTTTCTACAGTGTGTTAGTTTTGTGAATTTGTAATAAATGTGAAAATTTATTAAAAAGAATTAAATATAATTATACAGTATAATTTCTACGAGACAAACTTCGATAAATTGATTACAGTAATACAAAAATACATGTACAGGTTTAAACAGTCACACATGTCCCGGTTTATCAACCAGAAACAAACAGTAAAACATGTACCAGTATATCAACCAGAAACAAACAGTAATACATGTACCGGTATATCAACTGAAAATAAACAATAACATATGTATCAGTATATCAACCAGAAACAAACAGTAATACATGTTCCGGTATATCAACCAAAAACAAACATTAACATATGTCCCGGTTTATCAACCAGAAACAAACAGTAATACATGTACCAGTATATCAACCAGAAACAAACAGTAATACATGTACAAGTATATCAACCAAAAACAAACAGTTACACATGTACCAGTATATCAACCAGAAACAAACAGTAAAACATGTACCAGTATATCCACTAGAAACAAACAGTTATACATGTACAGTATATCAACCAGAAACAAACAGTTACACATGTACCAGTATATCAACCAGAAAACAAACAGTAAAACATGTACCAGTATATCAACCAGAAACAAACAGTTATACATGTACCAGTATATCAACCAGAAACAAACAGTTATACATGTACCAGTATATCAACCAGAAACAAACAGTTACATATGTACCAGTATATCAACCAGAAACAAAACAGTTATACATGTACCAGTACATCAACAAGAAACAAAACAGTTATACATGTACCAGTACATCAACCAGAAACAAACAGTAATACATGTACCAGTATATCAACCAGAAACAATCAGTAATACATGTACCAGTATATCAACCAGAAACAAACAGTTATACATGTACCAGTATATCAACCAGAAACAAACAGTAATACATGTACCAGTATATCAACCAGAAACAAACAGTTACACATGTACCAGTATACCAGTATACACAAACAGTTATACATGTACCGGTACATCAACCAGAAACAAACAGTAATACATGTACCAGTATATCAACCAGAAACAAACAGTTATACATGTACCAGTATAACAACCAGAAACAATCAGTAATACATGTACCAGTATATTAACAAGAAACAAACAGTTATACATGTACCAGTTTATCAACCAGAAACAAACAGTAATACATGTACCAGTATATCAACCAGAAACAAACAGTAATACATGTACCGGTATATCAACCGGAAACAAACAGTAATACATGTACCAGTATATCAACCAGAAACAAACAGTAATACATGTACCGGTATATCAACCGGAAACAAACAGTAATACATGTACCGGTATATCAACCAGAAACAAAACAGTAAAACATGTACCGGTATATCAACCAGAAAACAAACAGTTATACATGTACCGGTATATCAACCAGAAACAAACAGTAATACATGTACCAGTATATCAACCAGAAACAAACAGTAATACATGTACCGGTATATCAACCAGAAACAAACAGTAATACATGTACCGGTATATCAACCAGAAACAAACAGTAATACATGTACCGGTATATCAACCAGAAACAAACAGTAATACATGTACCAGTATATCAACCAGAAACAAACAGTAATACATGTACCGGTATATCAACCAGAAACAAACAGTCATACATGTACCAGTATATCAACCAGAAACAAACAGTAAATACATGTACTGATATATCAACCAGAAACAAACAGTCATACATTTACCAGTATATCAACCAGAAACAAACAGTAAAACATGTACCAGTATATTCACCAGAAACAAACAGTAATACATGCACCGGTATATCAACCAGAAACAAACAGTAATACATGTACTGCCTGGTATATCAACCAGAAACAAACAGTAATACAATGCACTGGTATATATCAACCAGAAACAAACAGTAATGCAATGCACTGCCGGCTTATCAACCAGAAACAAACAGTAAAACATGTACCTGTATATTCACCAGAAACAAACAGTAATACATGCACCGGTATATCAACCAGGAACAAACAGTAATACATGTACTGCCTGGTATATATCAACCAGAAACAAACAGTAATGCAATGCACTGCCGGCTTATCAACCAGAAACAAACAGTAATACATTGTACTGGTATATCAGATGGAAACAATCAATTGAACACATTCTATCTCTTTCTGCTCTGTCTCAAGAACAGTAAATTTTCTTTTCAACTCTGTACGTTCTTTCTCAGCTTCCAACATCTGTGCTTTTTGTTTGAGCTTCTCATATTCACCTTCAGCATTTTTCTTGATTTGTGTCATAATTCCGTTAACGTTTTCAGTGGTAATAATAAATTTCTTCTTCTTCAGCTTATAACAAGAAACAAATTTTCAAATGTAGCTGCTATGTGATTTATAATATTTATAACATATCATATATAAGGTCAAACTTTCAAAATCATCTCAAGTTTTCTTTAATCTTTACTCTCATACTTTGTTATGACTTCTAAAATCCACTTTTAAGGTAGGATTTGTGGTCAGATTTTTCTATCTTTATTTTACATTTGTTTTCTTGCCTAATACTTACAAATTAAGATATGCATTTTATATATTTACATTTTTGTAGATAGTTTAATCTGATTAATTTTCTATTATCATACAATTTACCATTAATTTAAAGGGACTCCACTGAGGTTTTTGACATGACGGGACTGGAAATAAATTGTTTAGATTATTTCTCCATTTGATAAAGATCTATACTAATAACTTATGTGCAAAATTTCAGATCATTAGCTCGCCCCATTTTTCCAGAATAATTATTATAATAGTAAAAAATGACCCAAAATTGAAACTCAAATCGGACTGAGAATAGCACAAACATATGATTTTAAATGTATTTCTTAGTTATACTTTATTTAATTTTCTGTTTAAAGTGCTCATGTTTATCTATGAGAAAAATTAAAATATCATGTTTTAGGCTTATAAACCTCAGTGGAGTTCCTTTAAAGGTGAGCTTATTTTAATTATTATAACTTAAGATTTCAAACTTATAATTTATCATGTACACTTACATCTTGAAGTTTCACGACAGCTTGTTGTGCATCTTGTCGATGTAAAAGTTCTTTACCATCTTGTAGAACAGCTATCATGTCATCGATATAACAATTAGCCTTGCTCTCCTCTAACTCCATAGAGCTAGAGTGAAAAATTTCGTTTCGATACTGCCGTACCTAATATACAGAAAACAAATAATACAACATTCACATAAATACTGCGTTCAGCAATGAGACTAAACACAACTCCTAAGTTGAGAATTAAAACTGTAAATAAGGAGTTACTTTAAAGTACTTACCATAATAATCATTATTCTTATTGTGTTTAAACTGCATATTATATAAAAGCAAATGGAATAGAAATGGTTTTTGATAAATTTTATAATTATTTTACTGAAGTTATGGTATTTACGTGTTGCATTTACTTATAAAGCACAAATAACCTACTTCTGTACATTTTACAGTGAGGCTTAAAATAGAAATAGTTGTTGTTGCCTTCCCACAAAAATAAGAGCTAGCGAAAAGATTGTATTGCTGAAATATATTTAAGAATACAAATTTATGCGTAACAATTTTGAATCATTATTCATTTGTTGCAAATTGGTTCTCTGGCAAAATTAAACTGCATTAACCTCATAGTTATATATAATTTCATCTTAGTGTGGTAATGGGTAAACGCTTATAAAAATTCAACTAGAACTATCACTAAATGTGATTAATACCCCCGCAAGACTGCTTCGGAAATGAGGATGTTACTAGTAACAGAATACCTTGTAAAACAATTGAAATACATTTATGGTTGTGGACAATTAAAGAGAGTTGTGGTTCTTGTATATTGCATTTCCTTTCAATGTGGTTGGCCATTGATGAAGTTTTATTGAATTACTCTGCAATAAGTCCAGAAAGACAAGGAAAAGGAAAAAAGGGCAATAACTTTATAAATACTGAAGATGGAGTTATGGTTATTGAACACTGCACTTCCTCTCATTGCACTTGACCATTGTATGAAGTTGTATTGAATTCCAACAACAAGTTTTCAAGTTATGCACAGGACAAAAAAGTAACAAAGGGCAATAACTGTAATTAGTCCAAATAGAGTTATGGTTCTTGTGTACTGCACTTCATCTCACTGCCCTTGACCATTGTATGAAGTTTCATTGAATTCCAACCATTAATCTTCAAGTTATGCACTGGACAATAAAAAGTAACAAAGGGCAAATTTTTTTAGATAAGTCCAGAAAGAGTTATGATTTCTGTACACAGTGCTTCCTCTCAATATACTTGACCATTGTCTGAAATAGTATTGAATTCCAACTAGTAGTTTTCAGGTTATGCTCTGGACAAGAAAAAAGCAATGGAAAAGCAACAAAGGGCAATAACTCTATAATTTCTCTGGACAGAGTTATAGTTCTTGTGCATTGCACTTCCTCTTATTGTGCTTGATCATTGTATCAAGTTTTTTTGAATTCCAACCAGTACGTTTTAAGTTATGCTCTGGACAAGGAAAAGTATCAAAGGGCAATAACTCGGTAATTTGTCAACATGGTGTTATGGTTCTTGTGCACTGCACTTCCTTTTAATGTGCTTGACAACTGTATGAAGTTGTACTGAATTCCAACCAGTAGTTTTCAAGTAATGGTCCGGACAAGGAAAAGTAACAAAGGGCAATAACTCTGTAATTAGTCAAGATGAAGTTACGGTTCTTGTGCACTGCACTTCCTCTAACTGTGCTTGACCATTGTATGAAATTATATTGAATTCCAACCATTTGTCTTCAAGTCATGCTCCGGACAAAAAAAGCAATGGAAAAGTAACAAAGAGCAATAACTCTGTAATTAGTCAAGATGAAGTTATGGTTTTTGTGCACTGCACTTTACCTTATTTTGCTTGACAATTGTATGAAGTTGTTTCGAATTCCAACCAGTAGTTTTCAAGTTATGCTCTGGCAGGAAAAGTAACAAAGGGCAGTAACTCTGTAATTAGTCAAGATGGAGTTATGGTTCTTGTGCACTGCACTTCCTCTTAATGTGCTTGACCATTGTATGATGTTATTTTGAATTCCAACCATTAGTCTTCAAGTTATGGTCCGGATAAAAGAAAGCAATAGAAAAGTAACGAAGGGCAATAACTCTGTAATTACTTTAGATACAGTTATGGTTCTTGTGAACTGCACTTCCCCTTATTGTGCTTGACAATTGTATGGAGTTGTTTTGAATTCCAACCAGTAGTTTTTAAGTTATGCTCTGGACAAGGAAAAGTAACAAGGGACAGTAACTCTGTAATTAGTCAAGATGGAGTTATGGTTCTTGTGCACTGCACTTCCTCTCAATGTGCTTGACCATTGTATTTAGTTATATTGACTTCCAACCATTAGTTTTCAAGTTATGCTCTGGACAAGGAAAATGCAACGGACCGCTGGACCGACCAACAAACCGACCACCGGGTGACTCCTATATATATACCCACCAAACTTCGTTTTTGGGGGTATAATAAAGAGTTAACCAATAACTGCTCTAAGGTAAAAATATTATCTTTTGCTTTTATACTTAATTAACAGACTTAATATTACAGTAAAGCTTAATATTCTACAAAATTAAAATAAACATAATAATTATAGTATACAAATCAAGTTACCTTTGAAAAAAGATTGTTTGGTCCTGTAACATTGCATCCAATGTGACTATGAAAGTACTTGTTATTTATGATAACATGAAGCAACCCAATGCAATCAGTGTCGACAGCTGATGTCTTGTCCTTGTACCCAGGAACATTTATAAAACATTTAATGACACTCCAGGGGTCTGTCGACCACTGTTGGACATCACTGTTTTTCCAAAAAGGTGCCGGTGGTATTGATGCATGATACTGTATAATGCTGTCATAGATGGCACCACATATATTGTTCGGACAGGGTCCCTTATTATTTGGAAAACAACAGTTACATTTATCTTGTTTGAGGGGACATATCCCTTTTGAGACTCGGACATGATCTGGCTGGAGAGTTGTTATCTGACAGGCGCCACATGTTATGTTTGGTTGAGGAGTCTTAGTTTGTTGTATTTGGTTTATAATATCTTTGTGCTGCTGTCTTCCTATGCCATCACAAAATGGCGCAAGTCCCTCTTTAAGATAACCCAAGCCTAGGCCAGCCTTAACCCACTGCCGGTATTTGTTGTTCTTTATATGTATCTCATGTGCCATCTTGATTTCTAGAAAGAAAAAAAATATTTTTAGCTACAATTTGTAAGAATCCAAGGAAAACCAACATTAACTATGACTGATCACAAACACTTGTACATGTATGCCCTGAAAGCTGGGTCCAGTTAAGGGACCATGAACTTTGACTTATAATGAAAGCATTGTTACAATCTCTAGAGGGCCATATTGGCCCTGAGATTTGTTGTTAGAAATGTTCATATACAGAAGTAGATATTATTTGGGCCACATTGAGCGGCCAAAATCAATTCAACAATTTCTAGTCACATGGTGGAGTCATGTGGTAGAGTCACATGGTAGTCACGTGGTGAAGTCACATGGTGGAGTCACGTGGTTGAGACACGTGGTGGAGTCACGTGATGGAGTCACGATGTGGAGTCATGTGCTGGTGGTGTCACGTGCTGGTGTCTTGTCCTTAAGTATGTTCTGTTATAATATGAAGTTGATCCCTTCAATAATAGCAAAGTTACAGCCAGTTACAGCAAAAACAATGAAAAGGTAAAGGTCATTAATGAGTGAAGGTCAAGGTCTGTCTGGTTATTTTTAAGTGTTATCCTTGAAGATTATTATGTTCAAGTTTGAAGACAATCCATTCAAAAATAACAAAGTTACAGCCGAATAATAGACAAAAAATGAAAATTTCAAGAATTTGACCTTCATAGTCAAGGTCATTTATGAGTGAATGTCAAGGTGTGTCTAGTTATTTATAAGGGTTATCCTTGAAGATTATTATGTTCAAGTTTGAAGACAATCCATTCAAAGTTACAGCCAATAATAGCCAAAAAAAAATTAAAATTTCAATAATTTGACCTTCAAAGTCAAGGTCATTTATGAGTGAAGGCCATGGTCTGTCGGGTTATTTTTAAGGGATATCCTTGAAGATTATTATGTTCAAGTTTGAAGACAATCCATTCAAACATAACAAAGTTACAGCCAATAACAACATGAACAAGCAAAATTTGGACTTTTAACCTTGAAGGTCAAGGTCATTTATGGATGAAGGTCAAGGTTAGTGTGGTCTACTGAAAGGTCTTGTCCCAAGGGTTGTTGTGGCCAAGTATGAAGACAATACACCGAGAAAAAAAAAGGTATGATCCAGGTACATGTTTGCCGCCGCGACTTAGTAGCAATACCTCTCCTATTTTTTCAAAAAAAAGTCGAGCTAAAAATTGCAGAAAGTATTCATCAAAATGTCAACAAGTAAGAGATCAAATGCAAGATATCAAATACAATTAGTTTGCTTACATTTATAACTGTTTTTTACTGAAGATAAGTTTGCATATTTGATCAATAGTTGCTAAGAGATGTTCTGATAAAACTAGAACTGCCACTATCTTGGCGTGAATACCCCCGCATACCACTTTGTCAGAATCAACAGTGGCCATTTAGAGCGCAAGGACAACCTCCCTGCCAAATCTGAGGTTACTAAGCCAGTGCATTGCTAAGTTATGTATTCTACATGCTTCAAATGTGAAAATGTCAAAATCAATACATTGCAGACAGGACATTCTTTAGCAATTGAGAAGAAAAGCTTTTTTTTTGTCAAGGTCCCTGTGACCTTGAACTTTGACCCAGTGACCTCAAAATCAATAGGGGTCACCTTATAGTCATGATCAACATCCATGCCAAATATGAAGACTGTGGGTCAAAGGAATCTTAAGTTAATGGGTGGACAAACTTTTTGAAGTCAAAGTCCCTATGACCTTGACCTTTGATCCAGTGACCTCAAAATCAAAAGGGGTCATCTACTAATCATGACTAACCTCCATTCCAAATATGAAGACTGTGGGTCATAGGAATCTTAAGTTATTGGACGGACAAACTTTTTGAAGTCAAAGTCCCTGTGACCTTGACCTTTGACCTGGTGACCTCAAAATCAATAGGGGTCATCTACTTATCATGACTCACCTCCATGCCAAATATGACGACTGTAGGTCAAAGGAATCTTAAGTTATTGGGCGGACAAGCTTTTTGAAGTCAAGGCCCCTGTGACCTTGACCTTTGACCTGGTGACCTCAAAATCAATAGGGGTCATCTACTAATCATGACTCACCTCCATGCCAAATATGACGACTGTAGGTCAAAGGAATCTTAAGTTATTGGGCTGACAAGCTTTTTGAAGTCAAGGCCCCGGTGACCTTGACCTTTGACCTGGTGACCTCAAAATCAATAGGGGTCATCTACTAATCATGACTAACCTCCTTGCTTAATATGACGACTGAAGGTCAAAGGAATCTTAAGTTATTGGGCAGACAAGCTTTTTGAAGTCAAGGCCCCTGTGACCTTGACCTTTGACCTAGTGACCTCAAAATCAATAGGGGTCATCTACTAATGATGACTAACCTCCATGCCAAATATGACGACTGTAGGTCAAAGGAATCTTAAGTTATTGGGCGGACAAGCTTTTTGAAGTCAATGCCCCTGTGACCTTGACCTTTGACCTGGTGACCTCAAAATCAATAGGGGTCATCTACTAATCATGACTAACCTCCATGCCAAATATGACGACTGTAGGTCAAAGGAATCTTTAGTTATTGGGCGGACAAGCTTTTTGAAGTCAGGGCCCCTGTGACCTTGACCTTTGACCTAGTGACCTCAAAATCAATAGGGGTCATCTACTAATCATGACTAACCTCCATGCCAAATATGACGACTGTAGGTCAAAGGAATCTTAAGTTATTGGGCGGACAAGCTTATTGAATTCAAGGCCCCTGTGACCTTGACCTTTGACCTGGTGACCTCAAAATCAATAGGGTTCATCTACTAATCATGACTAACCTCCATGCCAAATATGACGACTGTAGGTCAAAGGAATCTTAAGTTATTGGGCGGACAAGCTTTTTGAAGTCAAGGCCCCTGTGACCTTGACCTTTGACCTGGTGACCTCAAAATCAATAGGGGTCATCTGCTAATCATGACTAACCTCCATGCCAAATATGACGGCTGTAGGTCAAAGGAATCTTAAGTTATTGGGCGGACAAGCTTTTTGAAGTCAAGGCCCCTGTGACCTTGACCTTTGACCTAGTGACCTCAAAATCAATAGGGGTCATCTACTAATCATGACTAACCTCCATGCCAAATATGAAGACTAAGGGTCAAAGGAATCTTAAGTTATTGGGCGGACATGAAAAAACCGACGGACGGACGGACGGACAAGCTGATTCCAGTATACCCCCCTTACAACTTTGTTGTGCAGGGGTATAAATATTCGGGCAACCAGTTTTTACTTCGGACAACCAAATTTTCATGAATTGGGTGCCCCAATGACAACAATTATTCAACCCTCATTTCCCAAACTGCCCTTTGATTTCAAATTTGATCCTTAATTATTTCAAATGACCCCCATATTTTAATACAAAGGGCCACAATGACCCTAAAATATTTTAGCCTGGTTGCTTAGATTTTGGTCAGAAAATGATCTGATAATGGTCAGATACTGGTTAAATTTTTAAAGAACCTGGTTAGATTCAGGTCTGAAATAAAGAAAGAAATGTAATTGGTTTATAATTTTGAAGTGGCTAGCCGAACGGGCCAAAAGTTTTAATCATATGTGAGTCACTTTCAACTAGCTAGGACACACTGTATTGGCTAGCCGTACGGCACTTTTCAAAATTATAATGAAAGTCAAATATGCATAATTATGTTCTTTGTGTCTTTAAACCGGGAATTTAACCAAGTACCCGCATATGTCCTTGAGTGTTTCCTTTAATAAAGATGTTCTGCCATTTTGTAAAAAAAGAATGAACAGAAGGTAGGAAATGCAAGCGTTGTTAAATCTTGATAAAAGTGTCAAAGTTTCATGACACATTAGACTTAGTACATGCAAAGTTATATTTATGATTAAATAATTCATTTGTTTGAAAGATGAGTTATTCAATCATTTTTGTTAATTAAGCACATTGAATAAATAATGATAACGGCCAAAGAAGCTTGTTTCATAACGGCATTATCGGAGTGGAATAAATAAATAAAACAATGGCCCTGAGGTCGCTCACCTGTATATAGGCCCCCAGAGCAGGGCCAGTTTAAACCCCAGGGCTTTTACTTGAACAAACTTGGAAGACACCCATATGATGTTAAGTTTTTACTACACACATGTAATGAAAATAATGACCTCCCCCCCCCCCCCTAGCAGGGCCAATTTTAACTCAAGGGCTTTTATTTGAACAGACTTGGTCAACACCAACAAAAAGATGTTTCCTGCTTAAAATCTAACCTCTAGCTCATTGGGTTTTTTAAAAGAAGATTTTTTAAGTTTTTACTATACACATATAGTTAAAAACAATGACACCTCTGGGGTGGGGCCAGTTTTAACCCCAGGGCTTTTATTTGAACAAACTTTGTAGACACTCAGTAGAAGATGTTTCATGCTTAATATCTAAACTCTAGCTATTAATTTTGGGTTTTTGCTATATACATATTAGGAAAATCAATGACCCCCGGGGCGGGGTCAATTTTGACCCCAGGGCTTTAATTTGAACAAACTTGGTAGACACTCATTAGAACATGTTTCATGCTTAATATCTTAGCTCTAGCTCTATGGGTTCTTTAAAAGAAGATTTTTTAAGTTTTTACTATATGCGTATAGAGAAAATCAATGACCCCCTGGGGCAGGGCCAATTTTGATCCCAGGGCTTTTATTTGAACAAACTTGGTAGACACTTCCCGTCCCTAGATTTGCCACTAAAATGCCACCCTTTTCAATGGTGGAGTATTTAGACAATTTTCCACCAATAATGCCACCAAAACGCCACCCAAATCATGAAAATGGTGAAAAATTTGAGCAGGACTGATGTTATATAATTTTCCAGTTAATTCCACCTTTTTTACACTAAATGCCACCAATGAGTGGAAAATTGGTGGAGTATTTAGACAAACTTTCACCATAATGCCACCATTATGCCACCTTAGGGTGGCAAACTCATTTTCCACTAGATGCCACTTGTTTCCACTTATTGCCACCATAATGGTGGAAAATTGGTGGAGTATTTAG